TGTTGTCTAAGACATTCACTGAGCACATTGTCTGTTGAGGCTTTGTCCCTGATGTATTTATGGATCTTAGTTGTTTCGTCCTGGACAGTGGTTCTCACACTCACTAGTCCTCTGCCTCCTTCCTTGCGGCTCGTGTACAGTCTCAGGGTGCTGGATTTGGGGTGGAACCCTCCATGCATGGTTAGTAGCTTTCTAGTCTTAATATCTGTGGCTTTTATCTCCTCATTTGGCCAGCTAATTATTCCAGCAGGGTATCTGATTACTGGCAGGGCATAGCTGTTTATCGCACGGATTTTGTTCTTGCCATTGAGCTGGCTTCTCAGGACTTGCCTTATTCGTTGGAGGTATTTAGCTGTGGCTCCTTTCCTTGTGGCCTCATCGAGGTTGCCATTTGCTTGTGGTATACCTAGGTACTTGTAACTGTCCTCTATGTCTGCTATTGTTCCTTGTGGGAGTGAGACTCCTTCTGTGCGGATCACCTTCCCCCTCTTTGTGATCAGCCGACCACACTTCTCTAGTCCGAATGACATCCCAATGTCAGTGCTGTAGATCCTGGTGGTGTGGATCAGTGAGTCGATGTCTCGCTCACTCTTGGCATACAGCTTGATGTCATCCATGTAGAGGAGGTGACTGATGTTGGCCCCATTTTTGAGTCGGTATCCGTAGCCAGTCTTGTTGATTATTTGGCTGAGGGGGTTCAGGCCTATGCAGAACAGTAGCGGGGACAGAGCATCTCCTTGGTATATGCCACATTTGATGGACACTTGTGCAAGTGGTTTGCAGTTGGCTTCAAGGGTGGTTTTCCACAGCTTCATCGAGTTTGCAATGAAGGCTCTCAGAATCCTGTTGATGTTATACATCTCTAAGCATTCAATGATCCAAGTATGCGGCATTGAGTCATAGGCTTTCTTGTAATCGATCCAAGCCATGCACAGGTTGGTGTGTCGGGTTTTGCAGTCTCGGGCAACTGTGCGGTCTACGAGGAGTTGGTGTTTGGCTCCTCTGGTATTTACACCGATACCCTTCTGTGCCATGTGTTTGCTTATCTTGGCCGCTATGATGCCTGACATGAGCTTCCAGGTTGTGGAGAGACAGGTTATTGGTCGGTAGTTGGGTGGGACTGGACCCTTTGATGGATCCTTCTGGATTAGGATTGTCCGCCCTTCAGTTAACCATTCAGGATGAGTCCCACTTTGTAGCAGCTGGTTCATTTGGGCTGCCAGTCGCTCATGGAGAGCAGTGAGTTTCTTTAGCCAGTAGGCATGGATCATGTCAGGCCCTGGTGCTGTCCAGTTTTTCATGCCTGAGAGTCTTTCTTGAACATCTGTCACAGTGATGGTTACCGGGGCTTGCTCAGGGAGGTTGCTGTGGTCCTCTCGTACAGAGATCAGCCACTGTGCATTGTAGTTGTGGGACGCCTCCCTTTCCCATATGCCTTTCCAGTATTGTTCAGTCTCCAGCCTTGGTGGGTCTGCTCTGTTGTTATTATATAGATATATATATAGATATAGATAGATCTATATATATATATATATATATATATATATATATATATATATATATTCTCTATATCTATATATCTATATATATATATATATATATATATATATATATTATATATATATATATATATATATATTATAAGCCCCAAAAATAATAAAAACATCTTCTGAAACCATTATACAAGATACTATCGTTTGTATCCCATCTCATAATTATGTATTAAATTGTGTTGCTTCATAACATACGCGGTTAATGAAATATGTTAGACTTTTAGGTTATAATACAAAAGGAATTTAATCACCAATGCCAGTATTTATGTTAGGCTAGCGAGTTTCCTATATTTATTTGCAGATAGCAAAGTGAGATCACTGCCTGCCTCCACTACTTGAAACAAACATAGAGAATGTCCTATTTGCCCAATGGGATGTAGAAAAAAAGCTGCAACACATCTTCTGTGCTGTCAGATAAAAGAAGCCACTCAGGCTATTTCCATCATGCTGGGTTGATTGCAGGTAAAAAAAAGCTCTTATTTCCTCTTAACTAAGCTTTCCCCAAGGCCTGAACCATGGAGGATGCAGAAAAAGTGTGTCTGTGCAGAGATCTCTATACACTGATGGTGTTTAAACGAGAAAACCTTGCAAGGTCACAAAATATTTCCAAAGACAGCTGCTTCAAAGACACACACAAAATACATGAATGTCTGGGACAACAGAGCAGGGATTCATCATGGCTATTTATAACTAGCCAGACGACAGCACAGTAACATATTTATTTTTCTTCTTGAGACCTTTGACTGAGCCTTTTGTGAAGTCTCTTCCAACAAGGTTGGTCCTCCATCACACTAAACCACACAAATGTCATCATTTATTCAGTTTTGTTTTAATCGGATGTTTTTTCCCTCATCTGTACTTTGTAGTTTTAGTACAACAGACAGATCAAGATATGCAAAATATTAAGTCGGGCATTTGTACCATATAGTTTGCACAGTCACACAATTAGGAAAGCATATTTGTATTTTGTGACATCTTCTTTCATAAAATTTAGAAGAAATTCTAAATTTATAAAGGTTATTAGATGTGAATAACCTTTATCTCATATAAACATTTACAGTTATATTCAATAAATTAATATATGGGTTCCGATGAGGCTCATTTGTCAGATTTTGAAAACAACTTAGGCAGATATTAAATATATCTTTCACGGGACCCACATTTCTGGATTAAGGTTTTCTTTATTGGTCTGTAATATAATCAGAAATGTCACGTTTTTCATGAGATGTAAGCAACAAATCATCCTCATTAACAAATAAAATCTTGAAAACAATTTGTGGAGAATCAATCTGTGTGATGTGTTTAACTAGTGAGCTGAGTTACTGAAATACACAAACTTTTCATAAATATACTAAGTTGTTAAAAATGAGTGTTAAGTACTGCTAGAGCGACGCAAGTCATCCCTGAAAATCTGATGCACAGAATCACAAATCTAAATCTAAACTGTCACAGAGAGTAAATGGAATAAAAAACATGCTTTATCTGCAGCATTGTTCATTAACATGGTACATTGCTGATAAATTAAATTAAATATGATAGGTAGATGCTTAATGATATTGGCTATATATCCAGCAAGTGCATTTATTTAAATTCTTTAAGTTCTTCTAAAAGCCAGTACTCTCTACTTTTACTTAAGTACATTGTTTGAGTACTTTCTCCACAACTAGCACAGGAAAACACAAACAAATCTGAACTGAGAATCCCCCCCGCCAACCCATTCTGTTATTACATGAATGAAGTAGTGCATCTTGTTTAAATTAGTTGAACAAGTGATCCAGGAAATCTCTAATACAAGACTTTCCCTGCAACAACCATGAAGGTGGCTTAACTTGAAGTGGAGTTCAGATGCGTTAAGGCATTGCTGCGGTTGTAGCTACCCAGTCTGTGTCTCCCTCCTTAATGGGGAGATGGCACTCCATACTGCAGACAGATGCACAGGTTTGGCTCATTATTTTTGCAACTCAGTCTTGACAGGTCTTCCATGAAGATAAAAGTCTGTCTGCTCCAGTTTAAGTCAATAAGAAGATTGTATTGGTTTAAACGCAGAAATTAAACTTCATGAAGTTAATTTGACAAGAGACAAGTTATCTAAGCATTGCTTTTTTAAGTTTATTAATCTTGAATTGTGTGTTTTAACTTAATGCTGCAATTTAAGCCATATAATTATTTCAAATTATACAGGAAAAAAACTTCCTTCACCTAGTTAGAGAGCCACACTTCGCTGTTATTTTCACTCACAATATCAAGTAAAAATAACTAGTTATTTTACTTTAGAGTGATTCTTGTTTTAAATTGCATGAACAAAATTTCTGATCTGATATTGAATTTTATTAGACATCACAATGAATTTTACTCTGAAACATTTAGTGTGAACAGAACAATTATCCTCAAGCTTTGCAAAGTGTCAGTTGCATTGAAATTAATATTTGTCTTAACACGAGTCAGATCAATCTAACACACTTCCATCTCACTCATGGTGCAACACAGGATATAAAAACACAGTGGGAACTAGTTCCCACTAGTTCCCTAGTTCCCACTTCCAGTTTTTCTCTTCTTTCATTTTTTAAGTGCTAACCTAAAAACTTCAGTTTATTCAACTCTTGGGAGGTTTGACAAAATAAGTAAAACATAAGCTTATCTTTCACAAACTTACACATTTGTGTTCAAAATCTAAAACTCTTTCAATTTATTTGACTCAAAGAGTAGAAGATAGAGTGACGCAACTAAATGTTTTACAGTGAATATTTAATATCAGCCAGATGCTTTTTAACACAAGAAGCAGCAACTGGAAGTAAAGGCTGATTATTCGAAACCAATGTGTAGAGAATAGTTTGAAACTTTGGAGCTTATCACCTCTTATACCAAACTTCTTAGATTCTCAAAGGATTAGGCTTACCGTAATTATTAGCATACAAAGAAAGACAGATGTGTTGTTAATGATGAATAACTATCAGCGTTCCATGGTTTTAAACAAACTAGTCAGATTTTGCATAAAAATAAACCAAAAATTAATACATTAAAGCATGACTGCCTCGTATGCCATAAAACATTGTTCTAGTCAGTTTTGAAATTGGTTTAGCCATTTTTTGATAGTTATTTAAGTGGACAAAATATATTTCATGACTCATCAAGAAAGAGTTTACAAAATGTAACCCTATTAAAATCATCAGCAGCATTACTGCAAAGTTTGTTGTTTTCTGTTTTTAAAACGGAAGCAGAAGGAGTCTTTACTGTAGAGCAGGAAGACAAGAGTGAAGCTCATCGGTGCTGAAGAACTTAGAAAAAAGGATGAGGCGTCCTTCTGGGCTCCCTGAATACAGAGACTGTCCCATCCTGCTGCTGCTGTAGGTCAGGACAGCATGGTTCACTGCTTCCGCCTCATCCAGCAGTCTACAAAAACACAGCCATCTACTCAAACCGTGTGAGCATGTGTAAATCCCTACTTACCTTCACCGCCTCTGTGTGAGAAACAGAGTCAAACACCGAGTCGTTCGCTACTACTATCTGGTCCCCGACCCTCAGTCCTTCCCTCTCGGCCGATGAGCCCGGCTCCACCAGCGACACGTAGATCCCCACGCCGTGCTCTGACCCCCCGCGGATGCTAAAACCTAGACCCTCTTGGCTCCTGGAGCGCGTCAGGGTAACTTGACGCACTTCTCCGGAGAGGCCCTCGCTGAAGAGCGGGGCCATGGAAACAGTCGGTTCCGGACAAGTCGTCGTGAGAGGCTGCTCGCAGACTGAGCTGATGTACGACTGCAGAGTGGAATCGCCCTCTTCTCCGAAGCTTTCCGCGCTACCGTTGCTGGGCAGCAGGTCTGTTTTCAGGTAGAGCCCCTCGGACGTGTACTGGTCAAAGAGGAGCTGGTCGGACCTGGGGATAACCAGACGCAGCATGGGCAGCAGCTGTCGCTTCGCGGGCGTGTCCAGAATCACTTTGAGAGTCTGGACCAGGTCGTAAACGTTGCGTTTAGCGTGGTAAACATTTAGACAGTGGATAAATTGCTTTCTCTCCAGGTCACTTAGCAGCACATTGAGTGTGTTATGGAGCCTTCGGACATTTGTCGAGAGCGCACGGCTCCCGACGCCGGCCGAGTTCACTGATGTGTTGGGCGAAGCGCGCTCCAGGTCAGCGCTCATCTTACCGCATAACGGAGAAACAGCGTGCCATGCAGTCCTATGGACGGATCAGGCATTTGGTCCAGCGCCGATCACTTCACATCGCCCACCAACAAATTTAAACAGCTCCCCGAGCTTCAGGCATCAACAGATGGCCGGTAATGTATGTGCGTAATGGAGCTGGAGTGCGCTCAGTCAGTCACGGCAAGAAACACATTTTCCCGTTCTAAGTCTACGTTTCTCCAGCTCCGAAATCAGAGGGCAAATCGCTGTTCCGTCCTCTCTTCGTAAAATGCTGCACCGGGGTTCTGGACGGGACGAACCTCTGCGACTCTGATTGTCCGGTGAGATGGATTATCTCAAACGCCACAAAAACTGTTTTCAGTTATGTGAATCTTCAATAAGCCTATTTGAAAAACCACATAACCATACATTAATTATGAATATCAAAAGAGAATATCCTTTCTGCCACGAGGCTCTCTGTGAGCGGAGCTGGAAGAGAGCGCAGAATGGGTCGCGCTCTGGAGTCTTTGTAGGCATGACGCAAGTTTGTGTGACCATAGCAGTGCGTGTTGCTTGGAAACTACCATACACCACTCACCACTCTTTAAATGAAGACTGAAGCTAAAGTCACCCAGCTGACTGAAAGTACAGCAAAAATATGAGTGTTAAAAACAGACCAGAATAAGTGATGATGATGATGATGATGATGATGATGATATTATACTGTTATATAATTTTATCATGGCATTCATATAATTCATATTACATATATCCCCAAATATTATAAACTACCATCGGAGTCACTTGATCAAATTGCATCATGTTTATTGAGTAAATGCAACGCATCCATATGGAAGTGAGAGTGGAAAGAAACGACTCCCTTGCAGCAGAAAATGGCTCAGTGGAAGTTGTCAACGTTCAGATCTGGACACAGTGCAGAGTCAGCTCTTTTAAAATTTCACTATGAAATCATCCGGGCACATGATGCTACATGTCCAGCTGTACTGGTACTGATGGATCCCACAGAGAGACCACAGAAAATTCAATCCTTGGAAAATTCAGTCAGTATGTCACATAATTTTCCATTCTCTGTTTTATATCTACATTCTGGCTTCAGAATCTGCCACAATCATTCTGTTTTTTCACAATGCTATGCTGATAATATACAAACATTTTCTACCATTTTAACCCAGTGAAGTCGCTAACTCTCTGTTGAGCTAATGAGATGATGTCATCTTACAGATCAAATGTAATGTGTAAACTAAAAAAAGTCAGCAAAAAACTGTAAAAAAGGTAAAACATCCAACTCAAATTAATACTTTTTATGAGATCTTGTAAAGCAACAGATTCCATAGTCACTTAACTGGTCACTGTAATATGATTTATGAGTGCTACTAAAAACAAGTTTATGTCATAGACTTTTTACTGGATCACAGTCTGCTTATTCTCCTGCAACTCTATGTCCAACTGAGCATGTAAAAAAACTGAGCAACTGTGAATAACATGACTGTCTCATTAGAGTAGTGTTTCTGAATACCCGTCCCCAGGATCCATTGCCCTGCATATTCTAGGTGTTTCCCTTCCGTCAGACACCTGACTTGAACAAGTGGGTGATTAACAGACTTCTGGCATGCAGATTTGAATCAGGTGTTCTGGAACAGAGACATATCGAACACATGCAGAACGTGGAGATTCATTAGTTGAATTCAGGTAAAACTGTAACCTCTTCACCTTTCAGCTTCTCTCCCTGCCTCATTTATACACACTTTGTCTTCTTCAGACTTTCTATTCAGTTCACATCATCCCCACAGATACATATGGATGCCATCACAATGCCATATGAAAACAAGATACTTAATGGAGACTCCGTCCTGACCTCTTATGAGCCTGTAGTGATTCTAACCAGAGACTGAGAGCTGATGCCAGATGCATTCCCCATCAACTCCTTGAAGACATTTGTCACTCTGATCACACACTTCACACACCTCACCACTATCTCCCTGGTTGTACATGTCCTGCCCGCCCTCACATATTTCTTTCCCACACATAACTTCCTCACACTTCAACATTCATCTCTTGGCATCCAATCATCTGCTGCCTCTAGAGTCATACAGACACAAAGCAGCTGCTTCTAATCTTTTCCATCAATATTGTCAAGGCAACCACCACTTCAGCAGAAAGCCATGCTGCTGCTCATTATCTAGTAAGTGTATACCCTCTAAAATATATGTCAGTCTCTTGTACTTTTTAGCAAACTGGCCATCACTCTCCACTCTTTCCAACCTCTTCATGGTATGTCTTATCAATGTCACTCCTCTGTATTTACTCTAACTCTTAACATCACCCTGTAAAGTGATTGTGAACTACTCAACAACATCTGAGTGGGATGGGACTATTGCTGCTCCATCTGGATTCAGGAGACAATGGATGTCTGTCTGTCATCTTTTAGCTGATCAAGCTGCATTATAGCCGTTATCTTCTCCCTGTCAAATCCAATCCCGAGGCTATTTTTAAGCATCTATTATTAGAATACCAGAGTTTGTCTTCCTCCTCTTGACAGTTAAGAGCCTCCTCTGTCTGTCCCATTCACAGAAGGAGACTGCGAGGAGAGATACTTGTCACTTGCCAGGAATCTGACTCCTCACTATGTCAGCACAGCTGGGCCTTTTAGAAGCTTTTTAAGTCAGGACTTTTGAAAATAAAAATTACCATAAATTACAGCATTTCAAATCATAATGCAGTTTTGTTATTGCTTCAAGAGATTTAGTTTACTAAATGTTTCTATTGCATTTTGCTTATTTCATAATGTGATCATTTCTAAACCATTGCAATGTGAATAGCAATTTTCTCAGTATTTGTTATGTTTTGCATGTCATTGGCAGTGGATTTGATGTTGGTGTTGTCTGACCCTCTAATTTTTTAAGTTATCTTTAAAGAAGTTGGTAAACCTTTTGCAAGCCCTGTTAGAGTGGAGTTCAGATGTGTTAAGGCATTGCTGTGGTTGTAGCTACCCAGTCTGTGTCTCCCTCCTTAATGGGGAGATGGCACTCCATACTGCAGACAGATGCACAGGTTTGGCTCATTATTTTTGCAACTCAGTCTTGACAGGTCTTCCTTTCTCTCCACACCAAATAATTCATTTTAGTCTGGTTATTGTAATCTGGTTTGTCTGATTACAAACCAGATTACTGGTTTGTCTGATTACAATAGGACTGTGAGGAAACAGTTTGAGGTCTGTTTCCTCACAGTCCTCAAACTTCTGGCCAAATCTTCCATCATCACATTTTATTGTGGCTCTGGGATTTTCTTGTACCCAATACACTGTTTGGTAATGTGGCACAAAATATTCAGTTTGATATCAGATCATAACATATGTTTGCAGACCTTGATGTTTTCTTTGAAAGAAGAGGCTTAAGTTTTTAACACATCTTACTGGTGAGAACTGATTTGCTTGAGGAGTTCAGTCCTAAACAAAATTTGAAACTTGTCATAACATTGGAAAGAGATCTTGGAAACATTTTGGAGTTCTCAGCAGACTGGCTCAGGTAATGGCTAATGGGGATTGTGACTGCTATGTTGGAGGAGATACTCACCTCTTTTCTAAACTCATTTAGTTTTCTTTTTCTGGACTGTGGGGAAACAAAGCCTCCTACGAAGCACTGAATTAGCAGTTATACATATGCAGTTTGTACTATGCACTACATGTATGATGCATGTGATGTGATTTGCACTGGAAACTGAATAAAAAGTAAAAAAACAAAAAAAAAGATACAGAAAATCAGGAACAGAACATAATTACACTGTAACAAATTGCCCTGTATTTTTACAGTAAAATGCTGGCAGCAGGGTTGCCAGCATTATACCGTTAATATACAGTACCCTTACTGTAATCAACTTTACAGTATATTACCGTCACAAAAAAAATCTTTTGATTACAGCACATTGCTGTTTTTAATCAGATTTACAGTAGACTACTGGCAGCTGTGTTGCCAGTATATTACCGTTTTTCTACACTGTAACAAATTGCCCTGTATTTTTACAGTAGACTACTGGCAGCTGTGTTGCCAGTATATTACAGTTTTTCTATGGTACCATTACTGTTGAATTCACATACAGCTTACTACTGTAAATTTCCAATATAAAATAGAAACATGAAAAAAAAAACACTTAGAAAATGTAAGTTCCATCATGTCAAACATTTATTTGGGAAAAAAAAAAGAACCAACTCAAACATCGACTCATACACAGTCTTTAGTGGGCCACATAATAAAGACGAAGGTTTTGAAACGACAACGTATGTGTGCCTTAAACCTAAAACTTTTCTACAAGAATGTTGAGGGTAAACTGTCCAAAGTAAGTCATATTCTGAAAAAACAGTAAGAAAATTACCATCTATTTTGTGAAATAAATTTCTTAACTGATGTAAAGAGTATTTGAATAAAGCATGAATTGTGGCCTTTTGATTAGTCTGAAATAAAATATGAAATAAATTATGGAAATAATGAATTGTACAATTCTGCACACTACTTTTTCAATACAAAATACTACTTTTTGTGGAAGTGAGGAACAATATGATGCAACATAAAACAAATGAAACATTTAACTTTCAATCTAAAGCATAGAAAAATAGCAAATTTTAGTTTGATAAAAATTTAAATGAAACATTTAGACTTGAATTTCCTTTAGGGCAAAATCAGAGCTCCAACTTCAAATGATAAAACAATGAAACAATATTAGACAACACACTGCCAAGATAAGTTAAACATGGTGCCTGTACAGTCAAAATTACATCTGAAGAACAGAAAGTGGGAGCCTTAACCAAATTTATGCTCTTAATTAAAAGAGATGTCTTAAGATTATGCTGACCTTTAAACCAAAAAAATCTCTCAAGAACACTCCTGTTCAGGGATAAGTTGCCTTCATGCCTGTGTAGTTTTTTGTTTGTTTGTTTTTGTGTGGAGGGGCAACAATATCTATAGCTTGGTTAGAAAGTTCTCACTATGAAATTCCACTCAAAGTCCATGAGGTTTTTCAGCAGAGTTGAAACACGGGGGATGACAGTGACCGACTTCTTTTGAAAAGTTTGCCCTGTCCTCTTGGAGATGATCTTGCTACAGCTGGCCTTGGTCCCTCAGGGTTGATATCAAGAAAGCGCCTGAAAATGCAGTAATTTCAGATTAGCATATGATGCTTAAGGAGTCAGGGTTTAATGTGTGCTAGGTGAAGACAAAATTTTGAATGTTAAGAGTTAATAAAGAGACATAACATTTAAACAGTTTTCTGCCAAGTCAACTCTGTGAAACTCCAAATTCCCAGTTGATATCCATTCACCAATTTCACTTTAGCAGCTAATCATAGCAATTCAAGTCAAATTACACAAAAGAAAGAAAAAGAGCTTCCGAACATGTCAATATTTGTAAATATGAATCATCAAAAATAACTTACCTTAGGATTGGCTCATAAAATGCAGGATTCAAA